TATCCAACGCCCTTTCTTTTGGAAGCAAATGTAGGTCGGTTCTCCTAGAACATCCTCGAAAGCATGGTCGGTTGACTTTCCCAACAAATACGCTCCATTGCTTCGCCAAATAATTTCTGATTCAGCAGCAATGAGCATGTAAGTTAGGTCAATGAGGTTTTCGTCATGATCCATCATGTAATACTTTCTTTTGAACTCATTATATGACTCAAGAAGTAACTGCAAAACCCAATTCACAGCCAACTCATCGGGAAATGACACACCCAACATAATCAACCTATCGATGTGTGATTTCATTCCTAGAATGTGGACACACACAGATTTACCGTCTTCATGTTTCATTTCCAATAGGGCCTTAGTGATATTGAACCTTTCAATTCTTCGATCTTGTGGGTTGGGGAGAACAATTGGAGGAGGTGGAGGAAGTGAAGCATGATTTCTTGTTCCTCGATCGAATCGTGGAATACCATCTTCACGTGGAATGCTTGTTCCATGGGATTTGGGAAGACCATAGTTGTCGAACTTTGACATCTACAAAATGGGAGAAAATGAATTCAATTTAGTTGATCGATTGAGTCCTTAGTAAATCACCCAAATGAGATACTAAGGCTAGTTTCCAACACAATACGCTACAACCTAGAAAAAGGATGTCGTAATCTAGTTGCAGAATATTTGAAGGTAAGTGAATGACGATTCACTAATTTCCATCATGAAAAACAAAAAGAAATTTAAGTTTTAAATCTATGAAAACTCCTAGATCCTTTGAGATTCATTGAACATTTCGATGGCATGTTTAAATCTCGATATGCCCCTCTTGTTTGTGACTGGGATACCGAGGATCACAAAGCGGGTGTGAATAACCATGTAAACTTACATGGTGCCCTCACATGTTACAGTCACCTATTCGATGTGCCGGTAAACCACACACGCTCCACCGAACCATTACAAACATTAAGTCACCCTTTGCTACCTTTGCTTAGAACCATTTAGTGTGCCGGTAAACCACACACGCTCCACTAACGTCTTCGCAAGGGCACAAAGTGTAATTTCATGGAATTGCATCAATTCACTTTTGCCTAAGTAACTAAGATTGGAAATTTGAAAAACATTTAGTTACTTTGTATTTCATTATACTTGTAATGGAAGGTTTCGTCCTATCCTACCCGTTCGGCTAACGCCCCTCCACTAGTCAAGAGTGTGGTGGGTAAGAGTGGATACCCATTCAATCGCCATATTATAGGCAATTTCCTTAAACACCCCTTATAGACCAGCTTCGTGAATGAGGTCTACTAACAGTAAGACTGACTTTTACTCATACATATATATATATATATATATATATATATATATATATATATATATATATATATATATATATAATGTTAGACTTTTAATGTTATATATAGTATAGGGTGTATTTTACACTTTTAAAAATACTAGGTGGTCAAATTTAACAATTATACTTTTAATTCAATTAAATTGTAAACCTAAACTTTTATGGATTTATTAAACCTCTTTTAATTATACACCTTAATTAATTAATAAAACCATAAGGGTGTGAATTGAACTTTTCAAAACATTACTAGGGTTTTAGAATTTAACATTCCTAATTAAACTTTTAATCAACTTTTAAATTCCAAAACTTGAGGGCAAGTTTTGAAACATTTCAAAAACATTAGGGTTTCAACTATTTAAATTTCAAAACAACAAAACTTTTGGGTTCAAATTTAAACTATAAAACCTAAAGGGGAAAATATGAAACTTTTCATAACAACAAGGATCAAATAACAAATAATCTAAATTAACATTTAATCACATAATTATCCATATTTGATTTATTTAATGATTTCTTGCAAAACAATTTACCAATTTAATCAAAATAATTAATCAATTATCACATAAGGAAATAAATACTTTATTAATTGATAAATATCTTTAATTAGATCAAGAATATAATCATATATATCATAAAATCGGATTTATATTGATCTAATATGATAAAGGCAAGTATCTCAAAGATAAACAACAAAAAATCCCGAAATTACCTCTGTCTGACGCACCGACTCGCCGAGTCACCCTCTGGAACTCGCCGAGTAGGGCTGACTCGCCGAGTCCAAGAGTGACTCGCCGAGTTAGGTCGAACAGTGAGGCCAAAACACGTTTTTCAGTTTCATCAAGCATCAATACAATAGAAACCAATAAAGGCTCAGATAACACTGATGGGTTTTGGTCCTAAGAACATCCTATGTGCTCATACAAACCCTAATGCTTGGATCTAGGTTTCTCTATTGTACATGCAAGTTATCCAAGACTATAAACCCTAATTCTAGCATTCAAATAATCATATTAACATGAGAATAGGTTTATAATGTTACCTTGATTGCTATGTAGCAATAACAATCCCAAATCTCCTTGTATTGACTTTGGAAGGCTTAGAGTCACAAGTGTCACTCCTCTAATGGTTAACAAACACCATAAGCAAGAGGATGGAGGCTGCCTAAAAATGTGTGAAACCCTAGAAAGATCATTAGCCATGTTTTTGGGTCATAAGGGTCTTATATATAGTAAGGCTATTAGGGTTATCTAACAAGGAAACCCTAATTTGGATGCTTAAGCCCTAAGCAACCCATGGAGCCTTTTCTTTAAGGCCTTAGACGATTTCATATGGGCTTCCCCATAGAATTCGTCCACCTTATAATATAAGGCAATCCATGGCCCAAATTGCAATTATCTTATAATTACAATTCCAGCCCCTTAAGTTTAATTAATCTCTTTTAGTCACAATACTAATTACCAATTAATTATTGACTAATATTAATTAAACAATATGATTTCTCATTTAATATATTATTCTCATAATATATTAATAAATCATTTTTAATCCTTTCTCTCCATAATTCATCCTATCAAGTTGCTTTGGTGAAGGCAACCCAAAAGGACAATGCACGATCGGGTCAAGTACATACCAAAATAGTTATGGACTTAGACACTAATCCAACACAATCGACAAGAAGAAACACATTTGCAGAAGCATCAAATAACATAAACGAAGAAAAATGTCTTCCGATGAAAACATGAACGAGACCATTTCCTCACTCTTGACAATGAAAGGTAACCATCGGCGTTTTTTCTCGAGTTTTTAACGATTTTGAATCATTTCTAAAATTATCACTTGATTACTTGAAATTTCTTGTAATGTTCGAAAATTATTAGTTGAGTTATAACTACAAACATTGTTTTCACACTGTTCATTCTTCAAAAATTGTTGTTTACTTCAATTTTACTTGAAATTTATGATACTCGTTCATTCTCGTAACCCTCATTCGTTATTACTTTATTTACTTGAAATTTTTGTAAGAATCATCCATTATTATTTGATATATAAATGATTTTACATCATCTCTTCATTTTTCATCTTTATTCAAAACTATTCTGTCAAAATACAAACGTTACTTAACATTTTGCTTCTGTTTTCCTAATATTAACTACTTACCCATACAAAAACGACATCTGCAGTGAAGAATACATGTAAACGAAAACCAAGAACAAATCAAAAAGGTAAATAAAATATGTTTTGTTCACTTCTGAACACAAGCAAAACTAATATTCATTCGTGAATATGTATAGCTTGTTGCCATACATACATTATTAATATGTGAGCTGCCATACATACATTATTAATATGTGAATACAACAAGAATTACTTACGTATGTTCTATTCACATATGAATATAACAAAACATATTCATATGTGAATAAAGAAAATATGAATACATATGTTTTATTCAAATATTCATTCATGAATATGTATGTTATATTCACATAGAACATAACTTACTGCCATACATACATTATTAATATGTGAATACAACAAGAATTACTTACATATATTCTATTCACATATGAATATAACAAAACATATTCATATGTGAATAAAGAAAATATGAATACATATGTTTTATTCAAATATTCATTCGTGAATATGTATATTATATTCACATAGAACATAACTTGCTGCCATACATACATTATTCATATGCGCATACAATAAGAATTACTTACATATGTTCTATTCACATATGAATATAACAAAACGTATTCATATGTGAATAAAAAAAATATGAATACATATGTTTAATTCAAATATTCATTCATGAATATGTATGTTATATTCACATATGAATAGAACATAGCTTGCTGCCATACATACATTATTCAAATGCGAATACAACAAGAATCAATTACATATGTTCTATTCACATATGAATATAACAAAACATATTCATACGTGAATAAAAAAATATGAATACATATGTTTTATTCAAATATTCATTCGTGAATATGTATGTTATATTCACATATGAATAGAACATAGCTTGCTGCCATACATACATTATTCAAATGTGAATACAACAAGAATCACTTACATATGTTCTATTCACATATGAATATAACAAAACATATTCATATGTGAATAAAAAAATATGAATACATATGTTTTATTCAAATATTCATTCGTAAATATCAAACTCATTTATCTTCTACTTACTATTGAATGAAGGTAAGAACACTAACATTTCCGATAAAGATTCACCAACAATGAGAGAAACAAGATCAATGTAGAAGAGGAAAAATGCGAAAGGTACAAAATTCCTATCATATCTAATATATTCATATATAATAAAATTGTATATATTAGTTATATTTTTGAAATAAATAAATATTAATAAATCAACGAGCATATATCATATTCATATATCAGTAACTTATTCAAATATTATATGTTTTCATTTCCCAGATAAAAAAGAAACAAAAGTACCAAAGAAAATGAAGCATCAAAGCAGGAAAAGTCCATCAAAAAGGAAAACTCCTAAAAAACAACAACTACAAGATTCAGACTCTGATTTTGAAAGTAGTCATCCATCGAAGAAGGCAAAAAAAAAGGAGTCACCAATCAAAAAAGACAAAAAAAAAAACCAATGGTAAAAAAATTTTACTCAATGAAAAACAGATGTTCACCAGAGGCATTACTATCTATAATCCTTGGGATGAGCAAAGAACAAAAAGAATTTGTAAGATCTATGGGTTTTGGAGCTTTTTTAAAAATGAAAATCACGGATATACCACTGAAGCTGGGATTTTATGTTCTTCAAAAATTTGATTCTGAGAGAATGGTGATAGATATTGAAGGAAAGGAATTGAAAGTAACAACAGAGTTTATTCATGACATGTTAGGCATACCAATTGGTGGAACCAAACTTACACAACTGGATCAATGGCCTAAGGATGATACAAGTTATGATGAATGGAAGCAACAATTTAAAAAAGATTCAATCATCCGACTGAATGCAATAAAAAATGTTATGGTTTCTACCACACAAGCTGATTTCAATTTCAAATTGAACTTCTTAGTTCTTTTTGTCAACACTTTTTGCGAGTCAACATCAATGGGAAGATGCAACCTGTTTCCCTTGAGTTATATTTCAAGAAAAACAGATATCAGCAACATAGACTGGTGCAGCTATGTTTTGGACTGTCTTGTCAGAACAAAAAACTCATACATACCATACTTAGATAACAGCTTCTTTGTTGGACCTTCAGTTTTCTTGGTGGTAAGTTATTATAATGTTTATACTCAGTTTTTAATAATATTGATTATTCATAATCTAATAGCAAATATTCATATATGAATAAGAAAAATATATTTGTTCACACGTAATGCTTTACATTACTTATTCATTTATGAATAAGTAAAAAATAATATTACTTGTTCATATATGAATATCAATTAGTTATCATTTATGTGCAGTTGTTCTATGCTGATAATATCCACTCGGAAGCTTTAACAGTAACACGTAAACGTCCAACAATTTGTTATTGGAGTTCAGAGAAGATTAGATATCGAGAGACACTTGAACAAGAAAAAGGTAGATTTGCAGTTGGAGAATTAAATGAAAAATTTGTTAATGAACAAAATGAAGGAGATACAGATCTCGAAGACAGTGATCCTGATAAAGATGAAGATCATTCTGTTGAGGTAATTAGTTTTAACATGTTAATAATATATGATTACATTAAATTATTATATTAATTTTAATCATATACTTCTTTTTGTTACATAGGCATATGAATCAAAAATATCAAAAATGATTAATAGTTTTGAGAGGATGAAGGAAAAGCTGAATTCAAAGCTTAATGATGCGATGACAAAGTTCCCTGAAAAGGAAAGTTTTAGAATTTTCAAAGAAAAGATGAATAATATGATTGTTGAAGAAAAAACTGAAAGCACAACACTTTTTAATTTTCCAATTAATGAAATTGGAGTTGAAGGAATCAATTTGACACCAATAATGGGTCAAAAAACAAATGATCAAACAGAAAATGAAGATAAAGAGGGAAATGGTGAAGAAGACAGTGATAATGGTGCAAGTCAACCAGAAGTAGATTATTTGTTTGATTCAAATGAATCAAATAATAAAGGAATAAAGAATGATGCAGATAAGAATAAAAAAGAAGGTGAAATTAGAGTAAAAGAGAAAGATGCAAAGAGGAATGAAAATCAGAATGATGAAGAAGAAAAAGATGATCATGCTGAGGAAACAAATAATCATGAAGAGACTATTCAAAAAACTAAAAATCAAAATTTGCTGGATAAAGTTGTTGACAACATTGTGGACAATGTCGTTGGAATTGGAGTTTTAATTTTAAATAGTCAAGAAGATGAAATCTGGAATCACCCTGAAATGAAAACTATTTTCGATAATATTGATATAGGTAAATTTTGTCTTAATTTTATTTTAAAAAAATATATAAAAATATCAATACACAATAACAATTTTGTTTGTTAAATTTTGACCAGGGTCACCATTGAGTACAGGTAAAACTAATACTCTTGCAGAAAAGGAAAATCAGAAGGTGTACATGAACAAGGAACAAAAGTTGAAAAAACAAAGGGAGATGATACAGGTAAATGAATGATTTAAAATATATTACAATATTTATATTGATTTTTTTAGTAATATTTTTTATTCATAAATGAATAATATAATATATAAAAGAATAAAAAATAAAAAATATTCATATATAATGTATATGTTTCAGGCAAGGAAAACTTTGAAGATAGAAATGAAGGAGGAATGGAAGCTAAGAACACGAAAGATGGATGTGAAGAAAAACAAACAGAAATTGAAAAAGGAAATGCAGAAGATAGAGGTAAATAGTTGATTCACTAATAAATGAATATAGTAAGTTTTATTATTCATAAATGAATAACACAATATATGAATAAATAAAAAATATAGTATTACTTATTCATAAATAATGATATTTATTACTTATTCATAAATGAATACATTACTTATTCACATATGAATTACTTAATCACATTTCTTTATCTTTCAGGAAAGAAAAAGTCAGAAAATCAAAACAAGAAAGGAGAAAAAGCTGACAAGACAAAAGGAAATAAATGAGGTAACAATTTGGATAAACATTTCAAAATATAAATTCAAATATTATAATTAACTTACAACTATTTATATGATAAATCTCCTGGCATGTAAATACTCATCCAAGCTTTAGTCTAGGTCTCAGTCAAGATTCAGATCAAACTTCAAGTAAAAAATCTAATGAATCTTCACCAAAAAAAGCACTTACAAAGAAACAAATCAAAGACGACCATCCGAAGGTTGTTATCAGATTAGAAAAGAAAAATGTTCTTAATCCAAATCCAATCTATATCAATTCCTACTGAAGTAGGACCATCAAAGCATGATCTGGATCAACCAAGAGAGAAGAGGCTTGCTGATGCTTTCAAATTACCTTTCAAATGTAGAATAACAGACACAAAACCCAAACTGACACATCAGGAGAGTATTGTTTGTGAATGGTTGTCCAACTTACAAGGCAATACATCATAAGTAACTTTATTATATATATATATATATATATATATATATATATATATATATATATTCATATATGATTATTATATAGATAATAATCTATGACATTTTGATTATATATTTGCAGAGATGTGGTTGTCCAGAAAAAATATGGTCAAATAGCAGAAAGAGCAGTTATGGAAGTCTATATGCAAACACAGAGATTTTTGGAGAAGTTTTAGACACTTGGTCTGATTTACTTAACCACCAAGAACTGGAAAGGGGTTTTGGAAATTCACCATACAGACTCTTCTTGAAAGTTGGAGTTTCTGTAAGTTTATGTTCTAACCTTAATTCCTACCTTATTCATAATTGAATACACTAATATGATATATTCATTTATGAATATTATATTTTTTTTACAACTTAAATTCACATATGATTATACAAATATGATGTATTCTTTAACATAATTATATATATTCAATCGAAATTCACATATGATTATATTGGTTACAGACTGCTTATCTAACTTCAACATTGTCTGATGAAAGAAAGTATGAAAAATTCAAAGAGAACTTTCATGACAGTACCAATGGGTACAAAAAGATCTTGAACATAAAAGATATTGACATGGTATGTTAATTAAAATTGTTTATATATATATATATATATATATATATATATATATATATATATATATATATTATCAACAAAATACTTACCATTATATACATAAAAACAGGTATTCTTTCCAGTTGTTAAAAGTGCTCACATTTTTGTGATTGTCTTCAACTTAAAGAAACCGCCAATTGAAATTCTAGACAATAGTGCAGTTGAGGGGGATTATGAAGGGAAATACGGAGTAATAATGAAACATTTGGTATGTACCCAGTTCACAACAACATAAAAGAACCAATTAATTACATATCTAACTTTTATTTTATTTAATGATCAGAAAAATTTGTTTTTGAGATACTTTAAAGAAATAAACCATCCAAGAGAAAATGCAATCTCAAAAGAAAGTATCAAACCCCAATGACTTGAAATGTCATGGAGAACAGTTAAAAACAATGTTGATTGTGGGGTCTTTGCAATGAGACATATGGAGACCTATATGGGACAACCACTCTTAAAGTGGAAACCAGGTCTTCATAAAGAAAGTGCAGTTCAGCAAACTACTTTAGAGAAGCTCAAGCAAAGATATGCACACATAATGCTAACTTCTGAAATTAACATGTTGAAGGCTAAGGTGTTGGATCTTGCTGAAAAATATCAAAAAGTTGAATTCAAAGTGCGTACTGATCATGCATACAAGGCTATGCAAACAATTCAAAAAAAGGTTAAAAGAATATTAATGATTGCTTGTGAAGATGAAAGAATGTTGAAGTGTGATGCTATAGAGCAGTTTGTGTTGAAGATGAATGGATCTGAAGTACATATAAGATGATTCTGCGAAACAAGTTTTAAAGGGTTTGTTAAATATTGTTGAACATCGTTTTAATATTTTGTGATATGCTTATGAACAGCTTTTATCATCTTGTGTTGAATGATTATGTAATAGAAACAACTTCTCTTATTTCTGTTAGTTTTTTTATATTTAAATATTTTCAAAGTTTATTTATGTTTATTCATAAATGAATACGAATATGATATCTTCGTTTGTGATTAAATTAGGAGTAATATGTCAGTATAACAAAGTTCATATATGAATATAACAAGTTTGCTTCTTTATGTCATTTTTTTTATCATCAAATATTTTCAAAATTTATTTTTATTTATTCATAAATGAATACGAATATGATATATTCATTTATGAATAAGTTCAAAGTAATATGTTAGTATAACAAAGTTCAGATATTAGCATAAAAAAGTTCATATATGAATATTACTTATTTATTAGTATAACAAATTTCACATATTTATATTCATTTATAAATAATTCATAATATCAATATAACTTATTTTATAGTAATTTAAAAAACAAATATCAACATATCAATTTACCATATCAATATAAATGTGTATTATTCATACATGAATATTATTGTTTATTGTTTTTATCTGCATATATTAATAAATGAATAAAACAAATCCCTAACTGTCTTTTGCTGATTTAGCAGCTCCAACTCTTTGTGGGCAACTACGTAAATTGTGTGGAACTCGCTTTCCACATCATGAACACATTCTATGTTCTTTTTTAGAATTTTCATATGCTACTTCACCTGCACTTGGAATTCTTTTCTTGATTCCAGAACCTTTATTGCTTTGAACTTCAGGAACATGAATATTAATCTCTTCTGGAATAGGAATAGTAACACCTAAAAGCTTGCATATGACTTCACCATCTGTCTTGCTTTTCAATCCAGGAGAAATATAATCACTCTGAAATTCCTTCAACAACATTTGTTGTTTCTCAGCAAACGAAGCCAATCTCTTTTTGTCATCTCTTACAATATCCAAACATGATTCAAAACTATAATATGAATCATTAACTAGCTTTACGTTCTCACAATCACCTGAATCAGATTGAACAGAACTAAAACGATAATTTCTTGATATCACATCCTTTCTCCATCTCTTCAAAATATACCTTTCAGGAATTTCTTTAACAACACATCTCATCATTATTGTAAAAGCATGTCTACATAAAACACCCATACACTTAAAATGTTCACAACAACAATTTATTTCTTTCTCTTTAACTTTTATTTCAACCTGATATAAAAACAAAATTTACACATTTACATTCATATAAGAATACTCATATCAACACTCATATATATTCATATATTCATATAATATTCATATATGAATATTGATATTCATATATGAATATTATCATATTCATATATGAATATTATTACATTTTTCATAAAAACCAAGTAAAATTACCTTAAATTCATTTTTAAAATCACTTTTACTATTGTTGTGCTGCACAATGTAAACTTCCCAACCATCTTCAATACCAACATATGAGTACATACAGAAAAAACATGCTTTATATATTTCTTTTTGCACCTCAAAAAATATTGTACTTGTATAAACCTTTGATTCTTGAAGTTCTATTTCTCGAGGTGTTTGCATTTTATATGATGCTTTCTTTGATGCCCTATCAAGCTCTCGTTGAGTATTCCTTTGCTTTTGAATGGCAGTGTCGTAATTCATCATGAAATTCAAAAGTAAGTATTAAAGAATGAATTCATACTCTCTGACCTCGATGTAGTCTTCAGCAAACCACACATTGGAATATCACTAAAATATCCAGGTATCCATGAATCACGTATTGTAAACATGTCTTTAAACCATCTTGTGTCTTCAAGATTGAATTCTTTCATAAGCAAACCACACTTCACCTCAAAAACATCAGGTTTCATATCAATGTCCCAAACAAGCTTCGAAAACCTTTTTCTAAAGTCTATGTTTGTAAATAAATCATCTAATATCTGTATTAAAACAAAAATATTCATAAATGAATAAATAATAATAAGTAAAATAACAATCAATATTCATAAATGAATATACTAATAAGTAATATATTTGAAATATATTAAAATAATACCTTTTTTTTTCAACTTTTTCATTATATGCCACATACATAATCGGTGCTTTAAATTATGAAACACATTCTCAACAGCTTGTTTTATTGCAGCATCTTGATTAGTTAAAACAAGTGTTGGTTCTTTCCCATGAGTTTTAAGAAATGCTTTAAGCAACCAACAGTAAGACTCAATGCTTTCATTGCTTAGCAACCCAGATCCAACAGTAACCAATTTTTTATGATGGTCAATAGCAGTAAACGGAACAAAAACCATTCGATACCTAACACACAAAAAAATGTTCATTAGAGTCAATTTTTAATGTATTAATAAGTGAATATAAAAATATTCATATATGAATAAGCTATAAAGAAAAGTAGATAAAATAACTTACTTGTTTGTTCGGAAAGTCGCATCAAACGAGATAACACCACCAAATTCAGCATAATATGCCTTCTCCATTTCTGTAACAGCCCGGAATCTCAAGTATTGTTAAAATTATATTTTTGGGGTGTTTTAAGGGTGGACTCGGCGAGTTGGAGCCAGACTCGCCGAGTAGGATCGCAGACATGGTCGCGGGTTCGTGACTGGACTCGACGAGTCCAGATAGGGACTCGGCGAGTCTGCGCTGTTTAGCGAAAACCCTAGCCGTTCAGGTTTGGGACGTATAAAGGGGATCATTGGCCGTCATTGTTCGTTTTTAGCCTTCTGAGAGGAACCCTAAACCGATTGTGTGCATCTGGAGTTAGGTTAAAGGCCATTGATGAGTTAGAAGGAGTTGTTGTGCAAGGAAGAGAAGGTCTTGGCTTAAGGAACAGCAAGGGAGTCACATGCTGAGGATTGGGGACACAGAGAGTACATTATCCAGGTATGAATTCGAGTATACTCTGCTATGGTGATGAATTTAGAGGATTAGGGTTTATGGAACCCTTTTGTGGATAGATTGAATGTTACCTTAGTCCCCAAACGATTGTAACCTCGTGTTGGGACTCTTGGAGGTCCAGAATATCCCATGTCTGTGCAATTCGGGAATTGGCGAAGGTTTTGGATTGAAATCCTTATGCCTTAGGTCAACATATGAATTATAAGTCTTGGGGTGTAGCATGAGCACCGAAATGAGGACCATACGTAATGGACCAGTCTAGGAAGGCCAGACCTATGAATGGTCGGAGCAGTCCTGACCTTAGGAAGCAGTTTGAGCGACTGCATGGCATGGATTCGCCGAGTCAGATGAGCAGACTCGGCGAGTAGCTTGAAGAATAGTTGGGACTCGTCGAGTTGTTCCTCAGACTCGACGAGTGGAGTCGGGGTGGCCCCACGATTCTTCCAGGAGTAACTCGTCGGGTCAAGGAGGATACTCGACGAGTAGAAGGGAAACCTTAGAGGATTGGAGGACGACTAGACTCGCCGAGTCGCCAGAGTACTCGCCGAGTCCGGTCGAGTTGACCGTGGACTGTTGACCAGAGTTGACCTATGTGTGATTTCTTAGGGTCAGTTAGCTTGGAAGATAAAAGTGTTAATAAGAGATATATGATGTTATAGGGAGTTTGTAGCTCGGCGGATCAAGTACGAGTGATTTCAGGAGTTGCTAACCTTCAGTATCCACGAGGTGAGTCTTCTCACTATACTGTACCCGGAAGGGTTTGACTGTGTGACCGGAAGGTCGGATACGATATGTGATATATGTGGTAAGTTATTTGTTATGCGTGCTGTATATGTTTATATGGGCTGGAAGGCAATATTATATGGGCCGGAAGGCAATAGTATATGGGCCGGAAGGCAATATGTTATGAGTCGGATATAATATGTGAAATATGTACTATATGTGATTAGTTAATTGTTATGTGTGCTGCGTATGTTTATATGGGCCGGAAGGCAATATGTTATGGGCCGGAAGGCAATATGTTAAGGGCCGGAAGGCAATGTGTTATGGGCCGGAAGGCAATACGTTATGGGCCGGAAGGCGATTATCTCATGGGCCGGAAGGCGTGGTGTTGTGGACCGGAAGGTCAGGGCCTGGAAAGGCGTATATGCGTAAGTTGTATTTTGGGGAACTCACTAAGCTTCGTGCTTACAGTGTCTTGTGTTATATTGTTTTCAGGTTCTTTCAGTAATACGGACGGCACCGACTCGATTGTACACACCAGAGAAAGAGTCATATTTTGGAGGATCCTGGTCTTCTATTCAAGTGAAAATGGAACTATGTTTTGTAATTCAATTATGAATGAGATTTTAAACAAGTGTTTTAATATTATAATGATTATTTTAAGTGAAAAATTTGTCTTGAAATTTACGGTGTTACAAATTGGTATCAGAGCCTTGGTTTGAGGGATTCGGATGCGCCTTCGGGTAAATCTGGACTCAAACTGAGGAAGTAAGAAAAAGTTTTCAAATAAATAGTTTTCTAAAAGCGAATAAGAGTTCAAAGAGAAAGTAAGAAAGAGCAGTGTGTACAATCAGCCAGAGCCAAACGGTGATTTCCCAAAATAGCCTTACTTTTGTGTTATGAAATATCTATGATGCACTTTATGAGATATTATTGCATGCTAGAGACAGGCTAGGTATTTCATATCTTAGGACTAGAGTGGCCTGATTTGTGATGCCTTAGCCTAGGGTTTGTTGTTATATGTGCGTTATGCTTTTGAGTATGTGATGAGTGAGAGTATCCAGTTAGAACGCACGAGGGGTGGAGTTACAGAGTTCAGTGGTACTTCCGAGGATGAGCCGAGAAGGTGGAGTTATCGCAGATAGGGAGTCCTATGTATTCTTCGATGCTCGAATGCTGCTTGCTTTGTGCTTTGTGGAACTCTCGATGATGGGAGTCAACTACTAAGTGAGTATGACGATATTCAGGAGGTAGATGGCTGGCATCATTAGGAGCTCTTCAGCAGCTGATAGCAAAGAAGTGGGAGGATGACGGAAGGGACTAGGGAGTAAACCTAGCCAGATGAGTGCGCTGGTAGAGTAGAGGATTTCGCTGGAAAGCGAGCACGCGCGATGGGATTGGTGAAAGAGCAGGTCGAGCGGCTACTTAGGAGCTCTGGGATGGTCTGTGTGGAAAGTATGGGTAGATGTGGCAGGTAGTATGGGACCGTACTACTGAAAGCAGAGGACCCATACTTGATACAGGGAGCATTCTGAAGGTCCTAAGGAATGGGTTGGGGAGTGATGTTATGGATCGAGTACCATACATCGGAACGGATTGAGGAGTGATGTTATGGTTCGAGTACCATACATCGGAACGGATTGAGGAGTGATGTTATGGATCGAGCACCATACATCGGAGCAGATTGAGGAGGGATGCTATGGTTCGAGTACCATACACCGAAGCAAATTGAGAAGGGATGTCATGGGATGAGCACCATGGTTCGTAGTGAATGATGCTTGTGATTATCTTGTTATCCGGTCATGATCAATGAGGTAGAGATCGGATGCTATGGGTTTTAGGCCTGTAGACCCTGATTGAGTATGGAGAGGCGTTCCTCGAGAGGAAAGGCGAGTGCCTATCAGAGTATTTTGGTAAGGAGTTAAAGGGAGAGGAAAATTTCGGTTCGAGCCGAACAATCAGTCGATAGAGGAGAGGTCACCTTCTAGGTGGGTAGTGTCATTTATGTTCGTGTGCAAGACACGAGAGGCCTGATGTTTCAGTTTTGGATTTGGGAGTACACCCTGCAGGTCGTTATCGATAATGATTTCCCTCAGAGTATCAGGTAGCGGGTGTGCCGCGAGGCAGTAACTTATCGTGAGCAGACAGTCAGTTGGGACTGAGGTAGTCGAGGACCACACCACACCTAATTGAGAATAGTAGGTTGTGTTATAGTGGTAGCAGTGGGGAGTTCAGTCGAGTTTTGCAGTGCAGAGAGTTTCGTCTATGTTGGGAGTGGGTTCCTGTCCTTGGGGCAAATTCCGGTGTTGGAACATTGGTTGATGAGTTGAGGTGAGAGGAACGATGATTTTGCGGTGCAATCTATGAGCCAGGGATGTTATCGAGCAGTTGAGATGCTTAGTGTTAGATTGGGATGGGATTAGGAACGATTAGAGGCAGTCGTGATGAGAAGTTCTTGGAGAATTAATCAGAGGTTCAGAGTATAGAGGGTGGATTGATTTCCTTAGAGGGGGAATTATCGGGCGTTGCGTAGCACTTTTCGGGAGCAGGTGCGATCTCGCGGGTGAAAAATAGTCGTGGGTTGGTCGCATGCTAAATGGTGATGGTTCGAACCCTAAGTGGGGGAGAACCGGGTGCAGTATGTAGAAAACAAAGATTTGTCAAGAGTAGTTATAAGTGGAGTATAGAGATATGCTGTAAGAAATCATGAGACCAGAGATGTCGGTGATCTAGTAAAGGGGTCAGAGTGAGTTAATGCAGGAAGTACTTGAGGAGGAGAACGAATGTATCCATGACAGGTGATTGGTGTTGCTGCAAGAAGATAGAGAATGATTGGGCAGCCAACTCCCGGGGTCGGTATGCGTATCCTTGTTTGGATTTTGAGCGTCGGGAAAAAGGGTTTCGGAGAATTATCAGGATATTTTGTAGCGTCAGCGTTTCTCGTATTCCAATCGAGAAATTATATGCACCGAAGTTGTAATGTGGGAAAAATGTAGATCTAATTATGGGGTTCAGAGGAAATGTATTATTGTGTCTATATGATGCTTGGGGCAGGAGGTTAGTGGTTGTGGCAGGATCTTGTGATGTCTGTTGGGGTATTCTGAGATATCCGGGTATGATATCTTTATTTCGGAGTTACTTGTGAATCCTGAATTAAATCGACGTGTGGCATATCAAGTATCTGTGGATCTAGTGGGAGCCCTTCGAGTATGGGCATCCAGGGAGATTATTTGAGAGAGTGGATTTTCGCAAAGATGGGCGTTTGTTATGTTGATTGCCTCCAGAGTCTGTGATGGATATTCGAGTCGCAATACTCACTAGACAGAGGGTGTTGTGATACTGCGGGGAGCCGTAGTACTCACTATTCAGAAGGTGTTGTGATACTGCGTGGAGTCGCAGTACTCACTAGATGGCAAGAGGATTTCGATGTTGGAATGTTTTCGAGCAGTGTATGAGGTGGAAGAGTTTTGAGTTAGGGTAACCTTGGTATTGAGTCTTTGGAGCTTGGATGTTGAGTCGGGGGCGAGACGGGGGTCTCCGTCTCTGTCAGGAGATGCGGGGAGATACGCAAGGAATATGCACATCAGAAACCAGAGATTTGAGTTGAGACGATCCTCGGTTGGATTGTATTTTTCTCGCATGAGGAAAAGAGAATTTCGTGACTTGCGTGTCACTGGGCCGGGATAGTGGTCACGGGGAGGAAGTTAGTGGGATATTTGGATCATGATATGGGTGACGTTGGGGGCTCAGCTGTGGAGCCAAAAGCTGACCTGGTACTCAGTCTTGAAGAGGAATATGAGAAATGAGCTTATCATGATGACATCTAAGGACACTTTAGAGAGAGTGAACGATTCAG